AGGAGGAGAAGGCAGCTTTTTCAAGCCCAGACAAACCAAATGACAAAGACTCCTCACATGTGAATGTAAAACATTTAATTTAAAAATGTTGACACTACAATATATAAAATAGCTATTATAAATGCACATAGTGTATTCTATAGCTGCCAGGTTTACTTTTTTTTTTTTTTAGGAAACTGTAAGTTACACTGTGGTTAAGACTTGTAGTTTCACCCTCTGAAGAAGTCCACATTTGATCACAGTGATGCATGGTCAGACTAACAGCCCCAATTGTTAAACACTTGGATCAAGTCATAACCAGTTTTATTGCAAAAGGACCCTGTACACATTTGTATCAATTCTAGTACCTTACAAGTTTAGCTACCCAACAAGTCATTAACATACAGAAACATGCATGAGAAGCAAGATAAGATCACCCATCCCTTCTGCATATTAGCAACTTGTCACTCCGGAGCCACATGGCTCACATCACTGAGGTTTATGTGAACAGTCACTTTTAGCATTCATCCTGAGTGAAAGATGGAATGACTTAAGTACAAATGCAACATATTATAAACAATTTCTTACAAAAAAAAAAAATCACAAAACCAAAGTATTTTACAGAATTTACTACAAAACACCATAAAAACAGCCTTCACTTAAGCCCTCTCCCCCCGTATCCTGCGAGCCAACTGGATATCTTTGGGCATGATGGTGACTCTCTTGGCGTGGATGGCACACAGGTTCGTATCTTCAAAGAGACCCACCAGATATGCTTCACTGGCCTCCTGTTTCAAGAGGACAAGAAGAAACGTCGTTAGAACCCCCCAGGGAGGCACACTCAGCACCGCAGCCCCACAGGCCACCAGCAGTACCTGCAGTGCACCGATGGCTGCACTCTGGAACCTCAAGTCCGTTTTGAAATCTTGTGCGATTTCTCTGACCAGCCGCTGGAAGGGCAGCTTGCGGATCAGCAGCTCCGTGGACTTCTGATAGCGTCGGATCTCACGGAGAGCTACGGTGCCCGGCCTAAAGAAGAGGGAGCGGGTGAGCCGGGGCAGGGGCCGCGGCACCGCTGGGCCGTGCCGCGCCGGCGGCCTTACCTGTAGCGATGAGGCTTCTTGACGCCGCCGGTAGAGGGGGCGCTTTTCCGGGCCGCCTTGGTGGCGAGCTGCTTTCGCGGAGCCTTCCCCCCGGTGGACTTGCGAGCGGTCTGCTTCGTACGAGCCATTTCTCTTCACTCACCTACAGACACAACCTCGCGTGACACAGAGCCCGCCTCTCGCTGCGCTCAGGCCCGGCACACAGCGGCCCGCTCCCCGCCCCCCTCGCCCGCCCGTCCAATCCCCTACAGTCCCGGCAGCGGCAGATGTTGCCGAGCGACCCCCTCCTCCCGCCACCAAGGCGGGCAGGAGGCCAGCAGCGTCCCCAGGGAGAAGGTAAGTTACGGCTCCTCCGCCTCCGCGGCCTGGCCGCTCCCCGCCCCAGGGGAAGAGGAATGAGTCACGCCACCCCCCGCTTCCTCTCGGGCCGCCCGGGTGGGGGGGGATGGGCACCAACCGTGACTCGGGGCACGTAGGCAAGGCCCAGCCTGCTGCCCAGCTCCGAGCAGCACCATAACCGCCAGCAGCCTCACGGCACCGCCGCCCACCACGGAATGCACCTGCCACTTACCGCTCCGAGAAGAAAGCGCCGGTGCCGGTCGCGCTGCGCACCGAAGCCTGTACCGGTAATACAACAACCCTCTCCGCAGCTGAACACCTCCTCACTGAGCCCACTCCACCGGCGAGACTCACTTCTTATACTGGGGGCGGCACACGACGCGGTGACCTCACAATGCCTGGAAGCAGCGCGCCTTACCGTTGGTCGGGACCTCCGCCGGCGCCGTGGCGTAACGACACACAAAGGCCGTGCTCTGGTTCCTCGGCGCTGATTGGGTGCATGCGCCGACGCTGATTGGTTGTTAAAGTAGCCGTTTGATTGGGTACTGCGAGGAGAGAAGAGGCCAATCGTTGGCGGGTGTGCGCCCTGCGCGCTGATTGGACAAAACGGGGCAGGATTTGGATCCTACCCTTTGTTGCAAAGCTCCACAATGAGAAGTCAATAGGAGCGGGCGAGTGGCGGGCTGCGGCTGCTGTGGGAGCCGCTTTGCGGCCTCGGGATCCTCCCCGGCCCGCTGCCCGGACCCTCGCCTCGCCACAAAGCGCTTTTCTCGGCGTGTAGGCGCCTGGCGGGGGGTCGCGGGGCCGCCCGGAGGGGCGGTGGGTGCTGGGTCCCACTCTAGGATACGCAGCGCGCAGGCCGCGGAAAGCAGCGGCCTTGGGGAAACTGCGGGAGGCTCCGGTGTGTAGCGGCTCGCAGGGGGTCTGTGACTCCCCCCCTCCGTCCGGCGCTCGCAAGCGTCGGTGAGGGTGAGGAAAGCTCCTTCGAAGGGAGTCGGCTCTTCCAGCGGGTCTGTGTCTCCCGCTCGGTTGTGGTGGTGTGGCAGCCTGGGGATGCGTGTTCGGGACTTAGGTTAGTGCTGGGCCGCCCCGCGGATCTGTGACCCTGGCCAAAAGCCGGGGAGAGCCCAGCTGCTGGCCTGGGGAAGGCTGCCACAGCTGGGAGCCTGGCCCGGGCAGTGGCAGGCGTCAGAGCTCTCTCACTCTGCACCTCTGCTCACGAGATCCCAGCAGCTTCAGGGTTACCTTCACTGCTTAAGCCAACTGTGAAGTTTCATTGGAGGTAGAAAGCGAGTCCATGTTCTCTGTTGGTACCATGTAGGAAGATAAAAGGCAATTGTCTCGGGGGGGGGGGGAAGTTGTTGCTTAAGTTTGACTTCACACTTGAAGCAACTGTGGAGGCAGGTCCTGGCCCCCGCAGGATGGTAGCCACAATCAGGAAGAACAGGTCCCAGGTGTCCTGCACGTGGAACATGGAGTGGACACAAGACAGTTGCTCAACCACCACTCCCAAAGGTGTCAGTGAGCTCCACGAACTGGAGTGTGGCCATTGTCACGCAGCCTTTCCATGAGGTTTTGCATCCTCCCCGGATGTGTGAGTCCCTGGGGCCGATTCCCAGGCAAGCAAGGATTGCCACAGTGCAGTAGCTCGGCACATAGGGAGCGCATCTCTTGCTTCTCTGCCTTTTGGGTAAGTCAAGCAACTGTGCACCTGCATGGTGCAACAGGGCTGTCACGTGTGCCAGGCCAGGGCTGCTGGAGGATGCTCTGGCACATCCCCCTCTGCTTCTGGTCCTTGTTTGTCCGGTTAATTCTCAATGCTGTAAAGGAAAATGTGAATTATTTCTCAGAGAGAAAAAGCTGCCTGTCGGTGGAATGGCTCGGGAGCTGGATGTGAATAATCATTTGCATTGTACGTGTTTTAGAAAATAAGAAGCAAAGAATTCCCTTCATTTGAGCCATTGGTGCTTAGGAAAAAAATTTAGGAACCGGTTCTGATGCTACCAGTATACCAAAAATTAAATTCATTATTTTTAAGAGCATTCTCTGCTGTCACTGGCACTAGGAGACTGGTGCATAGTGTTTGTTACCAGTCGCTCCTTAGATATTTCCTGTGTTTTCACAGCAATGGCTGCTTCCTCTTCTTAGAGATAGTTTAGATTAATCTCTCTTGGAGAATGGAGGAAAGCTGTGCTGCAGCCTTGCGGATGAAACAGGCTGAGGGAAAGGTATACGTGGAAATGCCAAAGCAAGGAAATCTCAGCAAGGACCTGTGTGAAGATGGAAGGCAATGCACCCAGGGCACATGTTGCTCAGCAGAACACGTTGGGTTGTCCCAGCTGTGAAACAAAGAGAAGTGGAAGAGGATTGTGGAATCCACATTGCTGAGGATTTGAGCCTTCAGTTTCTGAACCCAAGAACGTTGACAGCATTGTCAGTGCGATTTGTCCCTAATTAAAGGTTTTTTCATCCAGTTCATTGAGGAATTGGATTTTGGGTATTCAGGTGTGCATGCGTAGATATTACCTGAAATACCTCCACATGTTACTGACTTACCAAAAGTTGTCCTACTTGACCAAGAGCTGCTTAATTATAGTGCTTCAGCGTCCTGTGGAGGGTTGTTAGATGAGTAAAAACATATTGAGATCCTGTGAGTTATCTGAGTAAACACAGGGGAATAAGCCACTAATTACCCCAGGAAAAGCCTGCCCACAGTAGCAGTGGAATTGGTGTAAATGGGAATTAAAAAAGTTATTTCCCCCCCCAAACCAGCTGCACAGGCAGCATGCAGATGGAAGTTTATTATTAACATTGTTCACCCCGTGCATACTAGCAGAGTTAAAAAGAGGTGTTTGCCTTAGAAACCCTTGTTGCCCTTTACCACACAGCTAGAGGATTCCAGCGAGGGAAGTGGTTCTGTGTGAAGCCCAAGAGATCAAAGTCCTATTAAAAGAAACTCATATCATTTCCTGCCTCAGGAGAGAAGTTAATTTATGGAGGAAGCTCTTCACATGGGAATTCAGCCGCTTCCTCAGACCTTCCTCCTTTGGGGTGGGGGGGATTTTCTCCTGGGGGAGGGCAAGGGACCCCGTGCGATCTTCTGATGACACAGCAGCCAGGGGGCTTTGGTGTCACCTACTCAGAGGTAGGTTTTCCACACAGCTCGTTGGGCCCTCCTCCTCCTTCTCTTCCTTCTCCTCGGGAACTGGCCGGTGTTGTCCAGTGGGTGGGGAAGGCCATGGAGCAATGAGAGATGTCAACACTAAAATAACCCTTTGGCTGGGACACCGCGCTCCCGGTCCACGCTCAGTCCCTGTGGCAGGGGAAGGAAGGAAGTGAGGCTGCCTGCCACAAATAACTCCCCAGCCTCCTCCACAGCCTTCCATGCCTGCCTGGAGGCACCGGGCTGACGCTCGGTGCTGTTCCGGGGCTCGGTGGCCGCTCCTTGGGGACAGTCCTCCTGAGGGAGCCTCGCGAAGAGCGCGGTCCTGCCCCACCGCTGGGGGGCGCCCTGCCCGCGCCACCTCAGACCACAAGTCCCGTCGTGCCCCGCGCGGCCGGAAGCACGGCCCGCGCCGCCGAGGGGCGCCTCTGGGAGTTGTGGTCCCGCCGCCCGGAAGCCGCCGCCCGCCACGTCCCGGGTTGGCGGAGAGCGGGCGCGCGCCGGGACTACAAGTCCCACCCCGCCCCGCGCACCGGGGCGGCAATGGCGGTGGCGGTGTTTGCGCCTGCGCGCGGCGCCCTCCGTGCGGACCGCGCAGAGTGAATAATAAAGGTCTGCTCGGCGGCGGCGGAAGGCCGGAGGCATGTCCAAGGGCCCGGTGGCGAGCGGCCCCGCCGCGGCCGGCCCGGCGAGCGCCGCTAGCGCGCTGCAGGCGCAGCCCGAGAAGCCGCAGCACTACACGTACGTAGCGGAGCTCCCCGCCGCCCGCCCGCGCGCCAACACGCGCCTGACGTCAGCGGGCGGCGTGCGGCACGCGCGCACGGAGACCCGCCGCCAGCCCGCGCGGCACCGGCTGGAACCGGCCCCAACCGGCCGGCGGGGGGGGGAGGGGCGGGGCGCGGGTTGTGTGGTTCCCCCTCCCCCCCGCGGGTGACTCTCCGGGGCTCCGGCAGCTCGGCCCGACCTGGGGCTCGTGGGGGTCCGGCCCCTGTGGCCGCCATCGCACCCCGGCCCCGCCGCCGTCCCCCTTGGCCTGTGCCCGCACACCGCGGTAGTGGCCCTTTCTCCCGGCCCACGCGGGTGTCCCCTCGGGTGTGGAGGTGCCAGGCATTCAGGGGTGTTGGGGTCTGCGTATCCTCGTGCCGTTGCCTCGGCTCCCGGAGGAGTCCGGGTTGTCTTCAGGTGCCTGCCTAAGGAGGGGGCAGTGAGGAGGCCGGTGCTGCCCTTTGGCTTTCAGGGGCCGAGCCCTGCTCCCTGTGAGGGACGGTTCCAGGGGTCCGTCCTCAGGATGGGCATACTTCCACGCTTCACATGGCTGTGGGAAATGTCCTCCGTGGGGAACGTTACATGAAAATCCTGGAAGTGCATGCCCTCTTCTCACCTTTCCTCACACTGCTTCTGTGTGACTGTGGTGAAGGAAGCACAAGTTGGTGTGTGTTGCCTCTGTTGCTGGAGATGGTGCCGCCATGAAGGCTTATTCCTAGTATGTGTCTTCCCTAAACAAAAACCAGAATTTCACTGTGTTGTACAAGGGGTGCATGACCTCCTGGAACTTGTGCTGTATGTGCTTGGTTTGCAAATACTTCTTTGGGTTGGAAGTTGTGGTGGTGATGCTTGGTTCTTCTTTAGCGCTAAGGACAGTGGGTGAATTGGGAGTGAGTGTTGTCTTTGTAAGGATGAGCTAGTGATGGGCATGGGTGGAAATAGGTCATATGTTCCCTGTCCTTAAAAGAAAAAAGTTTGGGACTGTTCCTTACGACCAAAATGCATGTGCCAAGCTGTCTTCCCTTATCGCTTTAGGGTGTTGTCCAAATACAGAAAAAATGCACAAATTACCCGTATCTCCTGCCTGTGTTGATGCCCCCACCCAAAATGAGAAGGGCAGGTTCTGAGTGCGGTTTGAGTTGCTTTAGTTTGTGTTTTCATAAAGTTGCTGATGGATTTCTTCCCTGTTTCCACGTTATAGTTCACAGAATAAGAAGAGCTTCAGAGGCATGGATCTGTATAACCAATGCAGGGATCAGAGGCTATATGACTTCCTCTTCCTTCAGGCTGTCCAGAATAGTGAGTCTGTGACAGAATGAGGGCTTCTAGGTTCTACGTCCATCATAAAGATCTTATGATCTTCAGGGGGCTGGCAAGTGGTAGAATCCCAGACTGATTTGTGTTGGAAGGGACCTTAAAACTCACCCAGCTCCAACCCCTTCCACAGGCAGGGACCCCTTCCACTGGAGCAGCTTGCTCCAAGCCCCTGTGTCCAACCTGGCCTTGAACACTGCCAGGGATGGGGCAGCCACAGCTTCTCTGGGCACCCTGTGCCAGCGCCTCAGCACCCTCACAGGCAAGAGCTTCTGCCTAAGAGCTCAGCTCAGTCTCCCCTCTGTCACAGCCTCAGGTTACATTATTCCTGGTGGTGTCTGCAATCAAAGTTTGACAGAAAGTTTATAGGAGAAAATGGCATGAAGGAGTCCACTAGGGCAATTGCTGTAGTGGTAAGAGAGGGAACATGACCTGCCCTTGGAGCTGAAGTGACATGGACAACAGAAAAACAATCAGTCAAAAGCGAGGAAGGAAAAAACCCAGGTGGCAAGGTGATGGGATTGTAGCAAGATTGTAAGTACACTAGGTAGAGGAAGGTGAAGGTGATAATATGGCTAAACATGACCATGGAAACAAGGATATCAAAGGTTAGGAAAGAAACAATGAAAGAAGGAGTTTGAGAAATAGGAGGAGAAGGAAGATCATGACAAGGTAGCTGAAAAGGACAGAGGAGGAAAAAGGGATAGTGTGTAACAAGGGTGGTAGTGCTGTTACCTTCTTTCCAGTGGCCAACCCATGTAGTTTCAGATGGATGCTAATAACATTTCAGTGAAAACAGTTGTGGAGAAGCTGGAGAACCATAATTGAGGGACATTTTGTGGGCTGCAGAGTGCTAACAGCGGGATCTAAGCCATACTTTGAAAGTCTTGGATTTGTTAACTAGGTCACATCATACTGTAAACCTCCTTCTGATAACATATGGGAACTTACTTGGTGGTTGTTCATATGAACAAGTTGTATGTTGTCAAAATGTAAATATTTCCTTCCTTTTTATTCCTTAAATATAGTTTGTTTCCAAAAAATGACATGAAGGTTACGACTTATAAACTGAAGTAAGCTTAATTATCTGCATACTTTGCTGTTCCCTGAGGATAGGCAATCTGGTGCTGGGGATCTCGTCTTAGGAAGTTTTGGTTGTATTTGTTAGGAAGCATTCAATTTTCTGTATTAGGGTTGGTTTCTAAACTCTTGGTATTATTTTCATGAGATTGTTAGGTACTTTGAACTGCAGTTCTAGATCTTGTCAGGAAGCCTTTGTGTCTGTTCTAGATGTTCAGCAAAAGAAAATCTGGGGGAAAAAAATAGAATTAGTGATGCTGTCTCACACCTTTGCAGTGTTTGTTAGCAGGAGAGGAGCTCAGAAAAAGACCCTTTGATTGTGCTTGGTAGCAGTTGTAGTGGGCAGCTCAGTTCTTCTGGAGACTGAGTCACTCAGGTATATGCCAGGCTTTGCTATTTAATTATGAATGGTGTGTTCCTCATCTGGGGACCTCCTATCCCGTTGGTAGAACTCAAATAAGCAATGAGGTGCTCAGCAGTTGCGGTTGTGTTGTGTCTGGGTTGCTGCATCAGAAGTTTCTTCCTGTGGCTGTTCATTGTGGGATGAGATCACTGTGCTCCTCAGAACAAGGGGCTGAGGCTGTTCTTCGGGTACCTGAGGCCAGTACAGCTTTGATCTGCTTCAGGGGATGGGCTCTGCAGGGGTGAGCTGGTAGCTTGTAGTGGGAAATAGATTTGGTTTGGGGACACTCTGTCAAACCTCAACTAAGTATTGACTTTGCACCATGTCTTAGCTCTAGCTGACGTGGTTCTTTCTATATGAATCTACCCCTGATGTGTTATCTGCAAATGTGGGTAGAGGCTGAGTTCAGAGAAACTGAAAGCAAGCCATCAGTCTCTTGTCAGTTGTAGACACGGGATACTGTGGCATGCTTTTGTTTTGGTACAGTCTGTCCATTTGGCTGTTGCCATCTTCACTGGTTTTCAGTCAGGCTGAAGTCTTTAATTGTGAACCTAAAGAGTGTATCCACTGCTTGGGTATTTATTGATCTGGCAGAATTTAGGTAGGTGAAAGCTGGGCAGTTCTTTGTTCACTGCATTCACCAGGAAGTCAAACAGCTCAATACTATGCAGGAAAGCAAATGTTCAGGTGAAGAGAAATCAACCTATTTAATAAAAAAACAAAGAGTGCCTTCATTCTAGTCCATGCAAAATACACGTGCTCAAAAGCAGCATTGAAGATACTCTGATTTAGGTGATAAACTCGCTGGGACAAAGATTTGCTGGGCATAACCCAGATCATTGTTACTAAACATGATTCTCTTGTGAGTGCCCATCTTAAATGTGAGCAGCCACCCTGTAAATAAACTCCAGTTTTCTGTGTCCCTGCAGGCTGTACATACCCTCACTCCACTGCTGGACCAGGATGCCTGGGAGCACATCCTTTGTACTACAGCAAAATAAGCTTTGTGGTTATGCCTTTGCAGCATAAAATGCAAAAACCCCCTGTCTTTCTTTTTACATGACTGGAGGAACTGTGGGAAATTCCTGAAGGGTTAGTACCTGTGTAGTGCTAGAACTGCATCTCCACAGCTGGTCATTCTGTTGTGTTAGTGACACCCAGGCTTTATCTTGCAACCCTTTAGATGCCAGCCAGAGTTAGAAGAACTAGTGCTCTTGAGTGAAGGGCATCTTAAGTGGGGATGAAAATCAGGTTGGTGCAATGCTTTAGTTATGCTAAATCAAAGACAGTTTTGTATCCGCATGTTTTTGAGTAGTGCCTTGTGTGGTGGTTTCTCGGCCTTAAATAGAAACTGATAAGGACAGTGATGGAAATAGAGGGGAAGAAGAAATAAGAACAGAAAGATAATAGTTGGGCTTGGATTACAATGAAGTCTTATTTATCTCAAAATCTTTCTGTTAAAATTCTTACTCAAAACCAATGGCACACAGAAACACACCTTGAAGCATTTGTAGAGTAATCCTTATCTCCTTATACGTGGACGGTGTCTTATTGCTATCAGGGCAGACACAGCATATCCGATCTCAAATGTGCAGACTGACTGACTGTGAAAAGAAAACCAAAAACCAGATGGGTAGCTAACATGTTTTCAGCATTCTTGTTTTTTTTTTTCTTTTTTCCTGTAAGTGGCTTTGCTCTTCTAGAGCCCTTAGTGTCTGAGTAGTCTGTTAGGTTATACTTTTGATATTCTTGATATGGGTGGTCTTCACAACTAGCAGATACATTTAGGGTTTCGAAACACTTCTTACAAACCTTTTGTTTTTCTTTTTAAACCACCAGGACTCTTAAATGAACAAACCATTGTCCTAATTCTGCTTTGGTTTTACTGATGACAGCCCTTAGATCAATAAGCTGATAGGACTGATACAAAAATAGAAACTAGCCCTGTTGTTTAAACAACAAATCAAACCAAAACCAAACAAAAAAACCTCCATGCATTGTTAGGTTTCAGATCTGGTTGGAGATTGTTAGTAAAGCGCAGGGAAAGTCAGTATTTCTCAACAAGAGACTTGCTGGTGGTCTACTACATCACAACCTGTAAATGTCAGCTTACGAGGGAAGTATAAACTGGTTTTTATTGCTGGTTTTTAAGTCAGTGTGAACTTCACTAAATGCATGC